TGGGTTGCTGGCTTGTTGGGTTGTTGGGTTGTTGTTAATTGTTGTTGGGTTGTTGGGCGTTGTGCAGCTTGCCCGGCCTTGGCCCAACCAATTCCCGTATGGCACCGACCCCCTACCTTAAGGGTCCGTTTGTCCAGTCGTTCCAGAAAGGGAAATGCAACCATGAATTGGTAGGTGTCTGTGTGTGTGTGTTCCTTTTTTGAGGGTGCCCTTTTCACCTTGGCTCAAGTCCCCTATTTTGAACAACCCAAATTGAATAACAGGGGGTACCCCCCTCCACGGAAACTCAGGTTTTTGTATTTTACACGCAAACTCTAACATCACCACACGTTCAAAGCAGCGTTGCAAAACAGGACCTGAGCGATACAAGTACCCCCCCTCCCTCCCCTCCCCTCCCCATAGGAGAACTCCCCAGCCCATCCTTCGGCAGCTTCTCTGGGCTCGCCAGGAAGCAGAGGCGCAGGCCTGGACCAAGCAACCAGACGTCCACTGGACATCCACTGCACAGTACCAACTGAGGAGATACTACGGCTGGTCTTTCTCATATTTGCTGGCCCGTGTTTCTTTGGTAACCCACTAGGAGGGGGGGGGGGGGAAATGGTAACGTCCACTCTGAGTGCGCAGACTTCGAGTTGCTGACTTTCGGTTCGAGATGGAATGGGGTGGTTGCCAGCAACAATAACATCACTACACAGTGGCAAGCTCAACACAAAGCTCAAACAGAATGTTAGATCGTGGCAAGTCAGGGGCCAGTTCTGGCAAGTCTCCTTACATTTAATCGCTGGGGTCAGAGATAACGAGTGGCCGCGGAAAAGGTTTACCGCTGCATCGTGCCGCTTCACCTTGGCGAGTTAATGAACTTTGCAGTTGGCAAATGACCCAGGAATGCAAGAGAATCAATGGGAAAAACGCGACACCCTCACAGGGTAGCTATCTTGTTCTAAGATGTTCTTGGCAGTTGAAGACAGCCAATTAACCAACTCTGTCTCACTCAAAGACTCACAAGGGTCGGCCTTGTCATTGCAACTTCCAGCCAGAAGATGCCGGAAAGACTGCCATCACCGGTGTTCGGCGTGTTCCAAAGGACTCTGGCTCCCGAAATCCGAACGCGACGGTTTATTGATCATTTCATTCTGGTCAAGAAGGCCGAGTGATCAGGCAGCAAGAGCTGCCTCACAACTGGAAAGCGATACTGGAGGAGGCCAATAACCATTGCAAATGTTGGCAGTGAATCTTCGGTCAGCATCAGTTACATCATGCTTAAGGAATTCCCCATAGAAAGTCACGGAAATACGGGGCCAACAATTGAGTGGTTTCCCTCTGGTTCCCCTTTAAACTAGAAACCAGCCCAAACAGGGACCCCTGTAAACTCAGCCCCTTCCAACCCCCCCCCCAACCCCGCGCCGAGGAGTGCTGCAGCAGCAGCCAAAAGCAGCCTTCCTCGCCGGCGAAGTGAAGTTCTCCAGGTTGTTTGATGGGAACGGGCACCAAATCTTCAGACATTCTACCAAGCTGCCTGCGCCTTCTCCGACCTCCAAACCTTCACTGACAAATCTACAGTTTGGCAGACTTGCTTTGGGGCGGTAAGCCTTGGGTTGGAGCCTTGGCAGCCCAAGGGCTGCAGTTGTTTTGCAACCGCAGAATTAAAAAGCGTTGGGAACTTGCCAGGTCGGCAAGGGTGCCCCTCCAACTTGCTCCCAGAGGTGTGCTGCTGGTTCGGACCAACTTGCTTTGGATCATGGGAGGTTGCTCTCATGTTCCATTTTCGAGGATATATGGCTGTGGGTCAAATATGTGTGCCCAATATGGAACTCCGGTATATGGAAATAAGGACTAAACCAGCGGTCCCCAGTGGTTTAATTTTGACCCAGGCCCATATAGGCGCAAGTCGATGCTTGCTGGGAGAAAGTCTGTGAGAAGTCCACTCGAAGAATCAAGATCGGCAAGCCCAAGGTGTCGTTCATACCAGAATGCTGAACATTAGGCAGCTGGACCCGTTCCCCGAACAAAGACCTCCACACGCCCAGATCTCCTGGTCGGGCCATGGCTAAGTCTCTCTCGCCTCAACACGTGAAGAGCTGAGGAGTCAAGGGCACGCAATAGCCAGTGGAGGGGCGCTATTGGTAAGTGTGGTCAATCCAGATTTCTAATGAGGTAACGCTCATAACCGTGAAGTGTTTGTTGTATACAAACATATTGTGCATATATATATATATATCTACCTATACATGGTGCCCCCCCATACCCGGACCCACCCTAAACCAGAACAAGCAAACATAATGTCGGGCAAATCACAAAAACGGGACAAACAAAGCAGAAGAATTTGTGGATGAAACCTTCAAGGAAAAACTTCCTGCCAAACGGTCACACAAAGGAGACAGCCCACAAGAGTCCTGGATCCCCTTTCATATCCGACTGTTTTGGGGTCCTCTTTAATCACACTGGCAGCATGCAGCGCTCTTCACGAACAGTGTGACTGATCGTGCGTCGCCTTCCCCAAGTCAAATTTGAGGCAAAAGACCCTTCGCAAAGGCCCTTGCAGCCATCGACAAATGCCAGGTAGAATCCAAATTCGTTGAAAGTCGATGGTCTAGTGGATTGTGGGGCCTCGTTTTTGGGGTGCCAAACCTGGACTTGACCCAATTTGCTTTCGTTCTTGCCCCAGTGCGGGCCCGACTCCACCCACCCCTCGGCTTCGCACGAGTCCGCGCTCCAATTTGTTTAGCCCGTCCGTCCCGCTGCTTTGGGCCAAGAGCCACAGAATACACGCAGTTACGCGGTTGCAGCTTGAAGTCGCGAGAAATTCACATGTCAAGCGCTCAGAGGGCAAGAAGCCAGCACGGCCACCTTTTTGCGGGTTGGCATTTCACGCATCTAGATTCCTGCAAAGAACCGAAGCTTCACCTGCAGCCATGCACCCATATCTCCCGGTCTGAGAAAGGAGGGATTGAAGGGATCCAAACGATCCAAAAGGATCAGGAAAAGCCATAGATGACACCCGCCGGAATCTCGCCAAGCTATTTGGCACCCTCTTCAGATGGGAAAGAAGCGAAGCGGCGCAGCGCATGTGCGAGCGAAGGTCGGACCCCGCATTGTTCTCACTGTTCCATCTCCCGCTTCTGGGGCTGGCAATGGGGAAAAACTGGGGTGGGTTTTGTTGAGTGCATGCACGCTTTTTGACGTTGGCTTAAAGGGACGCCAAGAGCACCCCACCATTTGGTCCTCCTATTTTGACTGCGGATGGCACTAATTGTTTGAGTCTCATGAACCAGCGCCATTTGTTCGCCCACAAGGACAGGTTCAAGACCTCTGGATTGTTTGGAACCTTTGAACCTTGGAGCCTCCTTATCTACTCATCTTCCCCCCACCCACCCACCCAACCACCCGTCCGTGCCCGCGCGCCGGGAAGGTCGCTTCCGTTGCCTTTTTCCCGCGCTTTCGTTTTTCACGCGGAGAGGTTAAAAACGGCGAGCTCTGCCACGGCCTGGCGCGAGAGGCGCCAGGTGGCGGATCCCCGGCGTCAACGAGAGCACTCTCCCACAACATCCCGCCTCCACCTCCAGTTCTTCAAAACGGAACCATTTGGCACACAAACTGACTTCGCATTGATGTTAAACAAGGGAATTTGATGTGGAATGCCATCACTTTAACACAAAAGCTGACCGCTACAAAACACCTTCTCAAGGTCATGCTCTCCCTAACACATAACCTGCCTGCACGCAAAGAAAGCTCCCACCCCCTTTTTGGCGTCTAAGATGTCATGGCTGACCCCGAGCGCCACGAAGCCATGCTGCTTTCAACCCACGCAGGCCTCAGGCAGAGAGGCTCCTCCAGGACTCCTGGGAGTACCCCAGGAGTTCGGCTGGACTTTTTGCGTCGGGTCCCAAAATCCTCCCACAAAGTAAGGGGGTGTCCGATTCAGAGGTGTGAGGCGGCCAGTGACACATGCTTGGCAATTGGAGGGAGTGAACCAACGTGCCCGAAGTAGATGGTTGGCTCTGAAATTAACTTGGTCCCTCTACTGAAAATGGGAATACTCCCACAAAAAGGAGTGCTGCCTAAGAGGACACCTGGTAACGAACAATCCAAGAACAAGAAAAATCAGGTGACGTTGAACGGGTTAGAATGACCGGGTTCCGATTGCTTGCACACAAATGGACAATCATGTGTAGCACAGGACCCGTTTGCAAGAACCCGTTTAGGGTCACACAACTAAAGAAAAATGGATTAGCTGAATACACACTTTAGGCCCTCATTGCTGTGCCCACAAGGGACTTGGGGGTCGGAGCCAGATGAACGCTTCGAATCGCCCCTTGTATCTCGGCCTTTTCAGTTACCCAGATTCAATTTGGTTAGCTTTTCATATGACCCGTTTCCTCTTTCAGCACAATCCTCCGGTGATGCACTTTCACGGCAAACGTCAGACTTTGAGGGAAGCTGTTTGCCAACTGCATTTATCTTCACTTGTGGTTCTTTCCAAACACCAACCACTTTTTCGGGATAAGAGAATGTGTAGGGTTCGGCTGGAGTGATCTTGGTGCTCATCCCATCAAGGAGCAAGGAGCAGCATGTCTGAAGAAGGCGCAGTAGTCGAGGTGACGCGCAAAGCTGTGACACCGAACAGCAGCCATCCCCAGTTGAATCTGGGTAGGGTTGCAATTCTCAGTGTTCTAGATCATTGCCAAGCCAATGAATGATCCATGCTAGCTCTTCAAAACCAACAGCGCAAATACACGCAAACTCCGACGTTGCCTTCGAGCAAGACACTTCTGTGGCGTGTCAAAACTGAAAGTCTTCAAAGTTCGAAGTGCGTCAATCTTTGGATTCAACATGGCGGCATAGATGTTCTGCCGGGTGCATTGCACCTCAACGTCTGCCAAAATGCAAGTCCGCGTACCAAAAACCTGGGTCCACCTCCCAAAAAGCATGATTGCCGACAATCACAAGCCGAAAGGCCCAGCACTTGCAGAAATCACCACCCAAAAGGCAAGCCAAGCTGCCCAGTGAGGGGAGTCTTGCTTGGAGAGCTGCTTCAGCTTGTCCTTCACAGTGACGGTGCCTCGGGTTTCCGAAAACTCGCAGAAACCCCCGCTGCCGCGAAGCCCTGGATGAAAGTGAACCAGCGTGAGGGCAATGACCTTAGCAGAATTGTCGCTTCTGGGACGTGATGCTTGGCTGCTCCTCATTCGGGGTCGGCCAATGTTGACCCCGGATTAATAGGGGTTATTAACCCGGGGTCAAAATTATGCGGCTGGGGCCTTCGAGTCGGTTTTTTGGTCCCCCGGCTGCCCGCCGGCTTGGCGCGCTCCCAAGCCTCTTCCAGGCCTCGGAGGAGTCCACGGCGCTCGGTTTCTCGGCCAGACTTAGACCCCCTGGCAACCAGCGTACGGCAAAAGGGAGGGCGAACAGGTTGATCAAATCCAACAATGCGTCTAGGAAATGATGGCGACCCCTGAAATGTGTGGAAACCCTTAACTTATATATTTCTATATATCTACCTCTGAAGGTGTTTACTTTGAGTTACAGGGGTTCGCCATTTATGACCATTTCGTTCATGACGTTCTTCCAAGCACTCGCAGTGCAGGGGGGGAAATGGTCAAAAGGTACAACCCCCTTGCACCGACGGCTTTTGCCCACTTCTACGCCAGTGCTGAGCGCGCAGGCCCTTCTCGTAATCGTCAGGGTTCAGCAGGCCGAACATCGGGTCCTGGCAAGTTCTGGAAGGAATGAGCCCAAGACCTTGGTTTCTGTCAAAGTAAAACAAGAGAACCCAATTCCACTCGTCTCCATTGTGATTCAGGCACTGTTTCGCGGGGTCGAAGAACCCTTTTCGACAGGAGCGCTGCTTGCGTCCGGGAATTTTGACCATCCATGAGATATGCCCGTGCTGACCTGCATGATTCCTACCTGTGGAACACCAGCCGCTTCCTATCAGCGCAATCAAGAAGTGCATGCACAATGGGCATGCCCAAAATAGCCTGCCTTGCTGTGAGTGCAAGCTAGCTCTGGACAACCCTTTTTCCCCCTGCCGGATCAATAAATTCAACAAAGGCGCAGAAGAGATCAGACAGGGGCGGATCAAAAGATGCGAGGCCTGGGAACGCAGTCGAACAGTTCGGGGATGGAAATCCCATAGGTGCCCTGCTGGAAATGGATGGCACTGGGAAATGACGAGAACCAATCTGAAGCCAATCCAATCCATCCATGTTCGTCCAAATTGACCAAACAACAGCAATGCTTTAAAGCCAAAGTAAGCCCAACCGTCTGGTTGTGTCTCAATAGGGACTTCCAACGGTTTGCCCGAGGGCTGCCCCGCCCAACTTCCACTGCGACAAGTTCCGATTTCGATAGCTGGGGCGACAGAAACAGTCAGCCGTCAGCCTCGGCGCCACAAGGGGAATTGTATTCCCTCCAAACACACCCGGTATCTCCAAATTTGAAGCCCTTTTTGCCATGGTTTCACCAGGAAACCTTCGGGGCCTTCACCCGAACCAGCAAAACACCTGGAACGAGCCCGGTGCTTTCTGGCTTCCCAAACTTAAAGGCGGTTGATGGATTCCGGCAAACCAAAACCGGCGACCAGCACCGCGCAACGCCTCGAGCCCAAGGAAACCCGAATTTCCCCGTTGGGTGGCAGTCGATCAGACCTCAGGGGAACCAAATAAGCAGTCGAAACCGCTAAAACCAGCTGCTTCAGGGAAGATTTGTAGAAGTTGGCACAAGTGAAATGTCGCCAGGGTGTGAGGTCAAGGACCGGGCAAAATGGAGAAAACGACCCATCCAGGTGTGACTTCCAATTCACCAAGCACCCACGAGTCGAGCACTACTCAATCAAGGGGGGGCGGGCGGTGGATTTCGACCCCCAAAAAGCGGCCTCGGTGTTCCTTGTGGATTCCCGTAAACCTGGCAAAAGGCACCGATGTTTCAAAAACTGCCGCGTCAAATGGCACCGTAAGCCCTGCCTTGGAGTCCTTGAAGAGCGGGTGCTCCCGCCAGGCCTTCTCCCTCGGTCCAAAAATTTGACCCGCAATTTTGGGGTCTGGGCGGTCCGGTGACCTTTGGGAAAAATCGACGGGGTTCGCTGACAAATTGACGAGCTTCGGTCGCCATCCCTGTGAAATGGGCCCCCAGCACTATCCGTTGCCAAAGCCTGCAATTGAGTCACAATCAAAGCCTGGTATTGAAATGGTCTACCAAATCCATGTAAAGAACTAGAAGGGCGGCGCAAATTTATGCTTGGACCTTCATCACGGGTGTTTTCAGGACAATGAAATGAGCTTGATATGTTAACAGCCGGGCCATATGAATTCGAAGCGGGCTCCAAAAGGATAGCATCGTGCTGGCGCACATCATGTTTACGTGGGATTTGTGCCCAGCAACTAGCTTCAAGGGTGTTCTTTCTCGAAATTCACCGCCATTCGAATGTTGCGTCATATTTGTTTGACTTCCAAATGGGTATGGGCCAGGTGGAATCGTCCTTGCTTCCATAGGGCAAGATATGTTGGGGTTGCCAACTATTTTTGACAATGGCCATGGGTCAAAATCCCGTACCCCCAGCGAACATCCCAATCCCCACTAAAATAGGTTCTAAAATAGGTGGTGAATTCACTTACCCACCAAAATAAGATCCCCCCACCCCCCCACCCCCCACCCCCCACCCCCCACCACCCCCGCCCCCCACCCCCACATTGGTTTCAACAACCACAGCCCAAATGGCTCTCTCCTCGTTGACTTATGGCAACTTTAGTCAGATGAATCCAGGGTTCCCAGTTTGGGCCCGAGACACAGCCGGTTGGTTCCCTTAGTCGGGGGCGGCCCCATTCAAGTTTCATCATCCATTGGCATTGGTTGCAATCTGCGGAAAAAAACGGGCCCCACTGGGCCTCCCCACGCCTCGGCCGCACGCTTGGTGCCAGGCACTAGGCGCCAGAAGGCATCCTGAAAGGCAGGGAGGAAGCCCAAGCCGGGGCTGCCTGGGAAAATTGATTCCCTCTTTCTTTGTTTGTTGAAGGTGTGTGTGTGTGTGTGTGTGTTCGTTATGTTCTTTTTTTATCATTTTTATTTTGTGTGTTCTCTCTTCTTCTTCTTCTTCTTCTTCTTCTTCTTCTTCTTCTTCTTCTTCTTCTTCTTCTTCTTCTTCTTCTTCTTCTTTTGCTTTTTTTTGGGGGGGTGGTCCTGGGAAGAAATAAGTTGAATGCGCTTCCAAAACCGCCACCCCTAAAGGAAAGCAATAAAAATAGTGGCTCTGCAACATAGTTTAACTGTTACGCATGTTGCTCATGGATATTGGCGATTTGTTTTGGGGGGTGGATGTTTCGTAGATTGATTAGCAAGTACATGTTGCGATGGCGAAGTACATGTTGCGATGGCGATACGCGCTGGTCAATTTCCCTTTGTTCACGTGATGAAGGGAAACCTCCCCCTGCATTTTAGTCAGATGTCTCCCCCAAACCAAGGTAACAGGGCGGCCGCATCCTGTTGTGGTTGGGACGACCCAGATTTTGAATCTGACGGGGAGTTCCGAAGCTTGCAAGGGGATCCCCAGGAATCTTCCTGGCCTCTGGTTTCACCCTCGCAACTACGCTCGGGTGCCACAATCTCCGCAAGTCTCGCAAGCTCATTTGGGAGACATGTGATGTCTCACAATGAGGCACCCTATCCCGGTGGTTGGTGTCGATTCATCAATTATCTTTTCAAGCCATCAAGTAGAGGGCTCCACTTCGAAGACAGCCCAACACGTTGCCATGCCGATCCAGACTACAGGAAGATCTTTCCATGACGTTGTTTTGTTTTTGTTTTTCCGCTTGAAAGACAGTCAAATCATTGTGTCACAACGTTTCGCATCTCAACTCGTTTCACAAGTCTCACACTTTGAAGCTTTGCACATGAATCCCGAATAAGTACAAATCACACTTTGGGGACCAAAGGACCATGCAGTGCTGTTTGGGGCTCAGAAAACTTAGCACCGCTTGCCAAATGTCAATGCATCTGCCGTTCCTGGAGCTTTTGGTCCGGTGAGTGAAAAGCAATATGGACCTGCGTTGTCTCTTGCTTTTTTCGTTGCTTCCAAACAAGACTCATGATCCATTCTCATGTCCATTTGGTTCCAGGTAACATTTGCCCCGTATTCTGCTTGCTCGAGCTTTTTGGCAACTGTTGCAAATTCATACATGGCAATTATGTTTGTTTAATCCATTAGACTTCGCTTACACGGGGATTCCTGCTTTCCCAGTGCCTGGCCTCCTGGAAGGAGTACAGGACCTCGGCTTGAGCACCGAATTGATGGGCGGGGTTGGGCCCACCGCTGGTGTCAACATGTTCAAGCCGCCATTTGCTTGTTGACATTCTTTTGGTTGGCTTCCTTGTTGGTTTGACGGGGGAGATAACGGGGAGTCAACAAAAGACACACCGAGATTTGGCTGTCAGGATCACATTTGTGGGGAAACCCCGCCTTTCTTGGGCTTCGACACCCTTTTAAAACACCAGAGGAATCCGAAATCATTTTCTGCAGCTCGACTCTCAATCTTGTAAATGATGGCGGAACATATCGATTCCCTGCCGATCCGGCCCAAAAGGAAGTCAAATGTCGGATCCTACTGGCAAGGGAATACGTGAACTGTTGCGCACGTTACGTAGCCTGAAGGGAGGAAGACGATGCCTGCACGTCAGGAAGACTCCCGGGTGCCAGGTGTTGTTTGCAGAATCAAGCAAATGGCTTGTAGCATGCTTGACCTCTGGGTCCCAAATCTTAAAGCCAAACTCGAGAACCATCTCCATGGCCAACCCTGAGTGATAAATGGGTGAATCTAGAAAAGACTTGGTGACAAATGGGCGATTCATCCAAGTCCTTTAGGGAAGTTGAGAGTAAGCCCTCCCACAATAAATGGAAGCATGGATGCTACCGCAATGTGTGCCGTGGGGGCCACGGTCATGAGTCCCTTCATAGGAAACCGTTTGCTTGTCTAAAGGCCCTGCCAAGCTCTACTGACCACCCTGTGTGACCATCATATAATAATATATGTCTACGGTTTTAGATGGATTGGCTCCCAGGACCGGTGGCCGAGTTTCCGAAGCATAAAACGGATCAGAAAAACCGACCCGGTCCTGCCTAACGCCTCCTCTCGAAGCCTCACCTCTCAAACTGCGACTTCGGGCGCCCGGGCGAAGGAGCCCATGGCCACGGCCGGGAAGACCAAAGTCGTCAGCGGCACCAGCACCGCGGACCTCACATCGCAGAGGCCAACGAGGTCGTGGAGGTAAACTCGAGGGAAACCAAAGCGGAACGAAAGGAAATCGACCTTTTTGGCCAAGCCCCTAAGGGGAAACCAAAAAAGCCAACCTGGACGAGTATCTCTTCCAGACAAATCATGATAATGCAACAGATGCTGGAGACGCTACAAGCACACGCGGTTGCCAAGGAATTCAACCGGTGTTGCTGCCCTCCTTTTCATGTCTGAATACATGTACAGAAACACATCGTGAAGTGAGCACTTCACTTGGTGTGTGCAAGCTAACCAAACGGCACCACACAAGCATGCGATAACTCTTTTATCCAAGCATTGTGCATCTTCCCCTGTCAGAAGTTCCAGGTTGGGTGGGCCCCACGGGACACCCGATCACCGACGAAATGCTGCACAATGAGATGGCAATCTTGGCGCCCTCAGGAAGAACCTGGAGCGGTTCCGGGCGAAGCTGAGGGACCAGTACCTGAAAAACAAGATGCCCTCCAGGTCCTGGTCCCTCATCTTCGCCCGGAACCGCGGCAGGTTCTTCCTGATGGCACACGCTCTGGCATTGGCCACATCTTCCGCGGGTAGGGCCTGCATGCCCTCCTGGATTGGCGCCAAGATTGCCATCTCATTGTCCAGCATTTCGTCGGTGATCATGGCTAAGGCCCGGTGGAGCTCCTCCTTCTTCTGCATGGCCTGCTCCAAGCTCTGCGCCTTCGCCACCTGCAGGGTCGCTGCACCTTGACACAGACCTGCTGGTGCTCCCTGACCTTCATGGCCGTGTCGTCCGCTTCCATAGTGAGGATCTCCTGGCGGATGTCCACCCGCAGATCCAGCGGGACCGTGTCTGCCATCGTGACCTCCTCTGCAAAGTCCGTCTTCGGGGGAGCTCTCAGTGCCATCCACCAGCTTGCGATCTCCTGGTGCCGGGGCACCACCGGGGCCGGAGGCACCCTGGCTTCCCCCCTCACGCTGTTGGATCCAAATTGGCTTGCCTTCCAGGATCAGCAGGTGATGGGTGATGTTTTCGGACTTGTATGTGGCAGATGGGGCCTGGTAGGGGGCCGATTCAGTGTGTCCCGCATGTCTTGCACATGCGCTCATAGCCCGCCTGTTCAGCATCCAGCCTGCGCATGCGCTGAGAACCAACCCCGGCCTTATTCCGCTGGAACCGGGGGCACCACCTCTTCTTGCCTCAGCCGGATCTTCATGGGAACGTAAGCCCCGAGGATGCGCATGACCAGGTCCTCCGTCAGGTTCTTCCCCGCGAACTTGTGGAAGAGGGAGGCCACCTCATCCACTGTGACGTCCCGCAACAGAGTGGCCGCAGATGCCGGCAGGGTTTTTGAATTCAACCGGGTTCAAAGAACCCAAGCCAATACTTGAGCCAAAATGGCACATGCCATTGTGGTCAAGCATTTCACACACAGTTCATGTTTCCACATGTTTCAACATTAACAGAATATCGTGCAGCATAGTTCAAAAACCCTCGTACTTCTCGTGTTCCACGCCTTCACTTCTGCAAAAGCAGTCGCAGACGAAGACAACTGGCTTGCATCCTTCTGGGTGTCGGCTAATCCCGGCTCGCTGAGAAAGCGTTGGCCTCGCAACATGCTTCCAGGTCTATCCACCTCCGGCTTCCTGGTCTATCCAAACTCATCGATCAAAAGGACACCCACGGGAAGGTGTTTTTTGCGTCTCCGTGAGACCGAGTCCTCCGGGCCCCGGGCCACTTCCGGTTGTCCCCGTACTTCGCCTCCGCGTCCTCCGCCAGCATCGTCAGCGCCGGCAGCGCGGCGGAGGCGGCCTCGGGCGACCAGCTGAGTGGCCCGGTTTCCTGGGGTCCTTGGGGGCTCTGCGGTGGACTCGGAGTCCCCTTCATGCAATTCCTTTCTCCTCCTCGTCCAGTTCCCCAAAAGAAAGGAATTCCAGGGGTCAACCCCCCAATTCCATGAAGAGGGGGGTGGGGATGCATCGTTTCGCCCATGGCGAAAAACTGAGCGGCAACGAAGCAGCCAAACAGCCAAAAGCGGTCCCGCGCCTTCTTTGCACCTGCAGAAAACACAATATCTTCATTTTGTGGTCCCTAGAACATCCTCCTAAAAAATGTCAGACAACATGTTCAAAGACAAGAGCTACAACAATGGAACCGCGATCAAGTTCTTGACCTGCTGACATCAATATGTGTTCAAGATCCAACAAGTCCGAAATGACAAGCAGTCCTGAAAACACAAAATCATACAAACTGTTGATGGGACTTTTGCGCAAACCCCTGTCAGAGGGTTCAGCACTTACACCTTACCCTGACGCATATAATATGCCAAACCAGCTATCCTACATGATCTAGGATGACCATTTAAACGTCTCCAACCAGTCACGCAAGGAATCCTGGGCAAATTTCACAGAATGATGACAGAGTCGGCTGCGCAAGAGCATGCCATTTCCGTTCCACTTCCAAGATTCACACTGGTTTGTCGCATTTTCCTGTCCACCAAAAACTAGTATCTCGGGTTCAGCTGCAGCCCGCAACGCGCGTCGACAAAACCGGGACATCAATCAAGTCGATGAACTTCCAGCGGGCGGGCTCGGTGCGGTGGGCCCGAAAGAAAGACGAAAAGAAACCCGGAAAGCTGGGTCCAGTCAAGTGACACCCTCAAAATTACCCGCGTGGTTCAAAGGGAAACGACCAAGGCCGAAAAGTGATCCTTAAAAAAAAAAAAAAACGCTTTGAGCGACCCAGGACTGGGGGACCCTGCGATTGCGGGGTTGAAGTCGATGCCAGGCTTGGCCTGCCGCTGGGAGGAGGAAGAAGCGCTGCGCTCTGGTGGCGTGGTTCTGCTGACTTGAACCTTGTGAAGACTGTGCTGGGTAACTTGACATGAAGTTGGTGATTGGGGGCTGTTTGCGTTGACATGGGTCAGGCGGTGAATTTTCCAAGCCTCATGAAGTGAAGCAAGTGCCCGACTGGGAGAGGCAGAATGTGACGGTGCGGGCAGCGCTCTCAAAAATGAGACCCCCGCAGAAAACACAATGAGTGGCGTCCTTTTGGTTTCCCTTGAAACACACACACACACACCAAAACAAAGACAGACAAACAGACAAAAAACAAACAAAGAAACAAAGAGACAAACAAACAAACAAACAAACAAACAAACAAACAAACAAACAAACAAACAAACAAAACAAAGGGTACCCGGAGAAGAAAAAAAACTCAATGCCAACAAGTCTACCATGGCCCCTTTTGCGCCTGCCTTGGGCAGGTTCTCCGGGCTGGCCAAGAAGCAGTACCGCAGGCCTGTCGCAGGCCCAGCTGCAACTTCAGAATCTGCGAGTCTTTGAGCGGAAAACTTCAACGGGTCAGATGAGTTGGTCTCGACTCAGCCGCGTCCCTTCAACGGTCAGCTGTTATCCATAGGTGTCCTGTTTGGCAAATGGATAGCCCTGGTGGATGATTGCACACCAGGTAAACCAGCGCCCTCTATTTCTCAAGCAAGCCAACCAAAAAGGAACGTGCTATCTTTCTGATTTCCCGCCAAAGGAACCCAAAAAGGGGCCCCGAGCACCGAACCAACTCCGACGCCAAACGCACCCAACTCCCACAACTCCCATCAGCTCGATCGGTTGGTGTGGGTCTCCGCGCCCAGGAGCGCGGCCGCAGCCACCAACAGCATGCGTCCTGCCGTTTCGCGGGCCCGCGAGGCCAAGAGATTGATGGCTGGCTGGGAAATTCCAGCGACCCTCCACAAGAATCAGCGCAAACCCAAGCCAAACACCGAGCCAAAAATAGAAAATTGAGGAAACCTGAGAGACCCGGTAGTCTCAGACGCCAAATCAGCTCAGTAGTTGGAGAGCAAAATGAGGATCCCTCAGTTCTTGTGAACACATTTCATTTTCCGGCAGTGCCTGATGGTACGGTTGCACCTTACTTATCTAAAAAATCTAAAGTGTTTCACATGATCAACATAGTAGCAACGCCCTGCATTTGTTTATTGTTTTCTTGTGATATGTTCAATAAGTATGTGTTGCTTCGTAGGTTTTTTTGGAGAAGGTTTATGTTTAACCAAAAAAAGAACTTTTTGCGGTGCTGACGAATTCATGCTTGGAGGACAACCGAAGAGGTAAAGCAAAGGCCGGTGCCATGGACGAGACAAAGCACCTCCTCGGACCCAAATCCGGATGGCTCCTTCACAAGTCAACCCCGCTTGCCACACGAGGAGCCATTGACTTCCTGAACCAATCAGCCAAAACGCAGATAAGTTGCCACCAAACTATTCTTTTCCAAAACAGCACGAGGTCCAGAAGCTGGAGGAGGCAAATGAGAACAGCAGGTCATGTGGTCATGCGAACCCAGACCCCGCCGCTCCTGGTCGAGCCATTGCCTCGGATGCGGAGATGTTGAATCAGCATAGCATAACTACCGTACGTTTGTCGAATATGTGGGGGGGGGGGGTGATTTTTGGTCTTGGGGCCCCAAATGGAGTGGGAAATATCATCTTTTTGATGGTGTTCCCCATGCCCATGTAAAGGACCTTTTGATCAACCCTCATGTGTCAAAGTAGGTCTTTGTATTTCTATCCACGCTACCTGCAAGTCACCCGACAGCCATACGGGCAAATGTCTCCCGACCGGGATCCGCCCCCAGTCGAGTCTCAAATCGATCAATTCCAGAGCTTCCATTCCTGTAGAGATCCCAACTGGGAAAGCAAGAGCTGCACTGAGGCAGCAGCTTTACTCAGTTGCAACTGGCTGACATCTGTGCTAAAGTCAAAATGGCGAGCCGTTGGTTGGCAGCGTCGCTTTAAATCTATGCCTGCCAGACTCCAGCAAGCCAGTCTGGCGAGGTGCTGGTTTTGCTCTTGGTGACGTCTAAGGAAAACGAGTGCTGAGCCCGACTGGCAAAGCTGGCTTGCAACTTTAGCGCCAACATTGAAATTGCGAAGCGCTGCTGGCCTAAGCAAGTTCGCCTTTACGCTGGCCGGTTTCTGACGAGAATCGGCGGAAGATGTTCCTTTCTGACCGCTTGCATGAGAAACCCCCGAAAAAAAGGGTCGGACTCCAAGGCAATCAGTTCACCAGCTTCAGTCGCTGGCAACCCTCAACTCCCACGCCTTTGGGGAACCCTTGCTTTCGGGGGGATACCTGTTTGGGGTGCCCGTAAATTCCAGGGAGCTAGAAGTCAAGGAAGCAAGTGGCCTCTCTTGTGCCATCGCATGTCTCAGAACCAATGTGTGGGAGCCATCCGCCTTCCATTGGGTACTTGCCGGCAGGGTGAGCCTAGCCTCTTCCAAAAAAAGTGTCCGCTACCTCCAAACCACCTACCCCTAAGGAAAACTTGGGTCAGCCAAGCAAGAACCATGCACTAGAATCACCTGCCAGATTGGCAGGGAGGTTTGGGACGATGCTTCCCTTAAGGCTCGGGCGTCTTCAGATTTGGCTAGGGAAGGTTTGGCTCGCTCGGACTGGAGCCGGAAGGCGGCAGGCATCTCTTGCCCGAGGTATGTCTCAGATCCTGAGTTCATGTCCAAAAAAGTTTTGGATTTAGATCTGGAACCCTGTAAGGGACAGGTTGAGGGCTTATGCGGATTCCTCCTTATTCTGGATCCTTGGAATATTAGCGTCGGCTCGGAAAACCAGCTCGTGAGGTATGGTTTGGCCCCAAATAATACACCGCTAGCAGGACGTCTCGCCAACAAAGCAATAGGCTACATGAGCGCCAAGCAGGGTCCAATCTTGCGTTGTTTATGAGTCAAGAGCGGGCAAGTGTTCAGAACACGCGTAATGTGTTTGGTAGGGAAAGGAACGCACGACCTTGACGGAGCCAAGCACAAACACCGATCCAAATTGTTGCTGCAAACTGCCCTAGAAATCGGCATCGGTTAGGCAAGCCTGTGGCTTCTGCAAGCTAGAAGAGAAAAAAGCAAGAGGAAAAGCTCGTTGCCCAAACGACCCAGAAATAAAGGGTCAACTCTGGGGCCATGCCTAAAAATGGGCCCACAAGTGAAAACTGAAATGTCAAAAGGTTGGCTTTGGGCAACTGAGAAAGAAGAAAGGGAAGCAGAAGGAGAAGAAGAAGACGAAGAGCAAAAAGCGGGCAGCTGAACAAACAGAAGCCTGCCGAAAGCCAATAGATAACATCTGTCCACGTTTTGACTCACTTCCTGAGTGGACTGGCCAAAAAAAGTCCAAACTTACTGTTTGTCCTAAAAGCTTGAAATCCCTGAACTCAGGGAGCGAGTTGAAGGACTCCCAAGGAATCCAACCCGGCTGCCTGACGAGCTCTGCTTTTGCTTGCAGAGAGGCCCTGCAAGTCAAAGACGCCGAGAAGCGCGCGGGCTCCGAACCCCGCCATCCCTACCCAGCAACCACTCGGCGCTCGGCTGCCGTCCGCCGGTGCCGTCCGTCAGCCGTCCCGACGGCGCCCAAAAAAGACCGGGCCAATTGGCCCAGGGAGTTCTGGCCTGGGCTCCCTTGGCCCAGACGCCAAGTACCCCCCTCGCATCGCGCGCGAGGGTCAGACTGTGCAGGCACCCAGTCCCGCCTGGCCAGATGCGTCGAAAGCTTCAACGCAAAGAATCTCAAGCTCCAGGCTTTTTCAAGCGGCTATGCCTTAAATTTGGCTAGTCACGTTGGCTCCAAATTCAAGATGCCGCCTGTTGGAGGGTTCGATTGCCTTTCTTGCTCACCTGGCCATCCACCCGTGCTGGTAAGAAGTGCTGCCAATCTGCTTGTCATGGTGAGTTACGACTGGCAACGCAATGAATGCATCTGCTTGGTTACGTGCAATAGGAAACCAACTCAATCAAAAACGGAGAAAGGGTGCCACTGAAGAATTGGGTCCAGCAAACCCAAGCCGAATGAAGATGGCATCCCAGGCAACATTGTGGTTGGCCCTATTGCTCTTGACCAAAGTAGGCCGTCCTTGTGCCTATGTTGGACTGGGAACACTACCGTTGGCTTTGGCTCAAACGTTCAGCACTGAGTGCTTCCTTTCAGTGACCCTTGACAACATCCAAGGGGGCGTGCAAACGCGCACACCCACCAGACATTTGGAGTGGTCGGCTTTAAGTGGAGACACATCATGCTCTTGCAAGGGGATCCTCTGTTCACCTGGAACGGAGGGTTCCTCGTTTTCACGGTGCCTTGTGCATTCCTTGTTAGACGGAACCCAACGAGCCCTCATACGTCGAGATTGGTTTCGGCGTTTAGGGTGGGTTTAGGGTTGGGCTAGGGAGGGTTTAAGGGTGGGTTTAGGTGGGTTTTAGGGTAGGTTCAGGGCGGGTTTGAGGTGGGCGTGGTCGGTTTGGGGCGAGGTTCGGGTGCCTAGCGGGGTTAAGGTGGTTTTGGCTTACTGCATGTTTAAGGCGAAAAGTGTGGGGTTAGGGTCCCTGTTCACTCGCTCGCATTGCTTGCAGGGTGGCGGTGGAAACAAGTCAGCGTAATCAAACATCCTCAAATAATATAGCACCCTCGAGAAAACTCCTTTGGGGACCCTCTTCGTGGTTCCACGTTAATTTGCAGGGAGTAACGGTTTGTCAAACCGCCCGTGTGCCTCAGGCAGACAGCGACCTCCAGCTCTCCTCGGTTCGTTTAAACCAAAAAAGGTCGAGTCAAGCCTACCCCCACTTGCCACTGCCCACAGTGCATAACCTTGTTATCAAGCAAGCGAATGTATCATGGTTTCCCATGCGGGACTCTGCCACTGCCGCTCCATCTGTTGCCCAATCTGACAGAGTTTTGCATGGCAAAATGTCACACCAGCTACTCACATGTCCCAAAACCAAGACTGCACCTCACAAGGACACCATGGGTCTCTTGGGGGTCTACAACAATTGTGCTTGTCCAGCCTTAAGAATGGTGACCTGAAAGTATCCAGTAAGTACATGGTAGTTGAAAAACGAGCCCCGGACAAAATTACGAATTGCCCAAGAGAGCATCCCTTGGGTACGCCCTCCGGCCCCATGCCCTCCCCAAATCAACAGCAGACTACCAGCAATGTAGCTGCTTGCTCACATAATGCAAGGCTTCGAGAAAAGCAGCTTCTGAACTGCCTCTTCCGCGATGGTTGGTTTCGACTAAACCGAAGGCAAGCCAACTCCAGCCACAAACCATGGCCAACAAAGCATTGCAAGACTCAGGAGGAAGCTGACTGCCAAAGATATTCAAGAAACGAGAACATGCCGAGCGTGTTGCTCCGAAACAAAACCAATGGTCCACCCGTTTGAGCAGTTTGATCATCGTTCGTGTGTTTCTACCCTTGTCTACCCTCTACCATTTCTACCTTTTCCTACACCGAGACCCTCTCAATGCCTGGATAAGCCATCTACCAAGATTTGCAGGATTTTGCCCGTCCGCAGTGTTTGCCGAAAGGCGGTTGATCTTGAGGGCCTCAAATCGCTACGAGCATCAATCTCTCGTGATCATGACTTAGTTTGGCCGATCAAGTCCCCCAACAACCCTGATCACATTACTTAGGCCCAAACGCCAGACCCCCGGAGCCAAGCTGCCCAGTGAGGGGAGTCTTGCTTGGAGAGCTGCTTCAGCTTGTCCTTCACAGTCACGGTGCCTCGGGTTTCCGAACATCCGAGCTGCGCAAACCCCAAAGTCCCCACCCACCCACACCCATCGGCATTTTTGTTTGGCGCTTTCTTGTAAAGGTCACCACGCCGTGCAACCCACCAAACAACCGCATAAACACATCTGTATCTCATATCATATCACCCACCACCTTCACCCTTCACCCTTCACCCCACAAGCAAGGGGTCACAAAACCCGAAACCAAAGAAACGAGACCCTCCCCCCCCCCCAGAAATGGACAAATCCCCCGCGGCTCACCTTCGAGCCGTCTCTCTGGGCTCCCCAACTGCCCGCGGGCTTGGCGCGCTCCCAGGCCTCCTCCAGGCCTCTCAGAGGCGGTTTGGTGGTGCTTGGTTTGGAGGTTTCAGGGCACCCTTCCCACTTGGTCTCAAGAGGAGCTGGTCCCAATCCGAAGCGCCAATTGGTTGAAAAGGTTCAAACAACCAAACCCCTCTGCAAAACCAAAAGGAGATTGTTTTGACCAGGGATCTTGAAACATGTTTCCCTCCCCCCAATTTGATGTCATCTCCGTTGTCTGGAAAAGATGCCAACCAAAACGGCTAGATGTTCTGAAAGCTGGGCAAGGACTCCCTGGTTAGTGGATGGTGTGAGGGAAAAGGGAAACGTCCATGTCAAACTGAAGGATGCGCCCTTGTTCAAACCAAGAAGAAACCAATCACACGCGGGGTCCCTCATGTTGTGATCGGGTTTTACCCAATCTGAGCTCAGCTTGCCATTCGGTCCTAGTGGTTCAGCGCTTTGAAGGCCTTTGTGGGGCTCTGGAACAAGCAAGGCCAAGCAAGGAGGAGAAGGAGGAGGGTTGTCCTCCCTTCAGTTGTTGTTCGTTGCCCCGGGAGCCAATGGAAGCCTCTATGATCCTCGGACGGTCCCTTCGAAAGCAAAACGCTACATACAAAGCACCTTTAAGGAAGAGCTAAGCATCCAGCGCTCAAGGCCATGTTTCGTCGACACAGCTGCAACCAGCAGGACAACAAGAACAGACCATCTGTAAAATATCAACAAGTGTCCACATTTCAGTCCTGTTTTGGGACACACCCTCTCCATACACAAGCTCACACAAGTGCTTTCCAGTATGCTCGTTACTGGGCAGGCAACATCCACCTATGCACACGAAGGTGCCTCTGATGTCTCCATGTGGGTGCTGCATGGTCCCGCACAAACAAATATCCATGGCTCTGGCCTTCAATGGCAAGCTAGGGGAAATTACACCAGGCGCATCTTTGTCGGAATTCGGGGCTTGGCAGCGCACCAGCGAGTTTCACAACTGCCTTCCCCCAACCCAACATCTCCAAAGCCCACCCTTCTCGTAGTCATCGGGGTTCAGCAGGCCGAACATAGGGTCCTGGCAAGTGCACAAGGGTCCCCAAAAAAACCCTGCTTGGGTCAGAGTTTCTTGCCGATGCTTGCTCAAATGACTCGTGTAGACAATGACACGACTAAAAGACCAAACAATCGGAGGCCCCATGGAGCATCAAGGGTGCCAACTGGTCGGAAGTGTTGCACGCTTTAGAGGCCCACTCATGCCACCTAATCCCCTGCTTCTTGTCGCTGCATCGTGATCGACTAAGCCAGCAATGTTGTTTGTCGCTCTCATGGCCGCGTCTGTCTTGAGGGTACACCTGATCGGGATCGTTCAAAGCGAAATGAAACCAAACCCATGTTGGCGGAGCATGCAACAAGTCCTTCCGCGACACTTCGAGGAAAACCCAAAAAAATGAAGGCAAAGATATGTTGGAGTTGGAGTTGGGGGGGGTGTCTTTTTGTTGAGGGTTCTTTACCAAGCCAAGAAACCACCAATTCTTGGGATCCTCGGGGCTCGCATTTCGCTCCCTGCCTTGGAGTCCTTGAAGAGGGGGTGCTCCCTCCAGGCCTTCTCCCTGGGCCGATCCGGCGGCCAAAGGTGTCAAACTGGGCGGCATGTTGCT